CAGCTGTTGCACTGTTTTCATTTGTGAGATACGGTCTTTCAAGCATGAACAGAATGATAACAATTGCATTGGGAAATCAGTGGTAATGTCATCTCTGTAAATCTCCACCAGCCTGTTTGCTTGCAAAAATAGTTCATCATCTGTTGCAGTGCAAAGAGTCTCGGGCAGTAAAACTTTGAAATTGTCAACTGTTGATCGTAAACCGGCGAATCTCTGGGTCAACTGAGAGATGACAATATCAAGGCAGGCATTAAACACATGGACGTGAAAGTAAGACTCAGCATCTGCTAAACGTTCATCTTGACACAGCTCATCAAAATGCGCTTTCACTTTTCTCAACCGAGTGTTCTCAAATGTCTTGCTCACTCCCCACTTCTCTGAAAAGCTCTTCGCTGTTTGTTTGGCATCTTCAAAATTTTCTCGTAACGCAGTTAGGTCTCTGATGGCGCTGTTCAGTAGCTGGACTGCTGTAGCCAGATCCATGTCTTGGGATTGTAGAAGTTTTGATATCACATTAGTTCGTTCCAGGATTTTGCTTTGGAGGACAACAAGACAAACAAATGAGAATTTCTCAATTGCCTGTTTCAACGATGCAGCCTCGTCCCGTTCATCTTTCTTACTGCTTGTCAGTGAAAGTTTTGCCAATGCCTTCATCACAACACTGTACCGATATCTCAGAGCGGTTACTGCGTTATTGTGTTATGTTGGAGTCATTGTTTGTGTCGTCACTGTGTGTTTTATTTGAGAGCATTGCCCATCTCTTTATGCTGTGCCCAAAGAACACATAAATGCGCTCAACAATGTCAAAGAACTGTCTTACTTCTTGTATCTTCACCGCATCATTAAGGATGAGATTCAAATTGTGTGAGGCACAGTGTACATACACGGCAGTTGGCTCCTTGGCAGCTATCCTTGCTTGGACACCACTGTATATGCCGCGCATATCTGCGGCACTGTCGTACCCTTGCCCTCTGCACTTGGAAAGGTCTAAGCCGTTGTCCTCCACAGACGCAACAATCTCCCGAGTAAGCTCGCTGGCCGATGAGTCGTTAACTTCACCACTATTCGCGTTGCGAATGATGCGAATTGGGCGGCGCGTTTGCCGCGAATGTCTTCCGCGCAAGTTGAAAAGTTTGAACTCGAGCGAATGTTCAAGCGTCTAACTAGACGCGATAGACGCTTATTTGACGCTCTATTCGCGTTCGGTGTGAACACACCATAAGAGTTAAGAGCCCAACTAATGGAAACACTAATCACTGTTATGGTGACTTCAAATGAAAGAGTTAAACCTCTGTTAATTCTCAATGTACAAAACTTCTGAAAACTTCTAAAACTTCTGTAGAAGTCTGACAGAAATAAAGTCAGTCTGGTTAGTAATAAGTGAAGCTGGTAATGCTGTTTGTGGAGTTGTTTAATCCTCCTCTGCTGATATCTTCAGAGATTTAATGTCTTCAGTTGATTTCATCTAAGACTCTGGCTGAAGTCAGTTGTAATAGGGTTTCTCTTTTCTTTAGTCATTCTGCTTGTTAACAGCAGGTGTTCATCACTAATGCTCAATCATCCCTTAATTAATCAGTTAATTATCTCATTAACTTTACCACTTTTAACACTCTTTAGATTGGGACAATATGTACTCTGAGCAGTGTTGATTTAACACTGGGAATTTTTCTGTGTTCCTGTAAGGCAGTGGTTCCCAAACCTGTCCTGGCGACCCCTCAACACTGCGTGTTTTCTTTGTCTCCCTAATCAAACACACCTGATTCAACTCATTAGCTCATAATCACATGGGTTAATGAGCTGATGAGTTGAATCAGGTGTGTTTGATTGGGGAGACAAAGAAAACACGCAGTGTTGAGGTGTCGCCAGGACAGGTTTGGGAACCACTGCTGTAAGGTGTAGTAATCATGAAGACATTGATTAGCTTGTTCAGGTGAGTTTGATTAGGGTTGTAGGTAAACTCTGCAGGAAAGTGGATCTTCCGGGCCGCGATTTTTTTTTTTTGCAGGGTGGTAGGGGAAGACTCGTTAATATTCATTGGGGAACTGATCCCTGATTGGCTCGCCGTGACGCATCTCTAATGAGGTGTGATAGAGAAAACAGACATCGTCTCCTTCGTGACAACAGACACTTTCGCGAAGGTAAGGCATACCCGTCAACATTTGGTTATCCAAATCCGGAAGATTTGTGCGGAGACCGCTCACGAACTTCGCAAACTTCTGTATCTTTGCGGGGACACCGTCTTGATCTGCCACGTCAATCTGAGTGACGTGTGACAGCGAACCAATTGCGGATCAGTTCCCCAATGAATATTAATGAGTCTTCCCCTACCACCCTGCAAAAAAAAAATTCGCTTCCGGGCCAGAGTTGAGGACCCCTGTCATAGAGTCTATCCTAACGAGCTGAGGATCTGAATCAGGTGTGTTAAATAAGGGAGACATACACAATATGCAGAGCAGTGGCTCCCGAGGACTGGAGTTGAGAACCACTGCCCTAAAGACAGTTAGGGATGTGGAAATCATGGAAGAGAAACTGTCAAACTCAAACTTCATGTCCGAACTGGTATGTATGTTAAGTCTAGGGTAATGAAACTCAATTCAATTTTATTGGGGGGCTTGCAGTGAATTTGATCTGAAACTTCTCAAGTGTGATCACACTAGGGGTGGAACGGTACACAGAAGTAACGGGTCAGTTCAGACATCACGGTTCGGTACGAGTTCGGTACAGTGGAGAGAAAAGCAAATGACGAGTTGGACTGTTGACGAGGCCACAAAAAGGATGATGACCTTCCTCCTAGACCATGGCCTTTCCAGGCAGTATAACTTTCTGGGCCGAAATGGGAAGGGAGAGTTCAAGGCCTTAAAACTGTATGAAGTAACATATGGTAGGTACGCATGTGGATAATGTTTTAAGTTGTACCAAGGTGTCACAATACCCTAACATTATAAACATGTCGATTTTAAATATTGTGAATGGGGCGTTTGTTGTCCTGGCTGAGCAGTGTGTTCGCACATGTCTCTCAGTTGCGTAGCTTGTGTTCAAGAGAATGTGTGTATTTCTAATAATAATCTTAATTTATATAGCGCTTTTCTTAACATAGTTGTCTTTACAGTCCTGGCTGAGAGTTGTGTTGGCACATATGAAGTAAGTGACCGTTATATTTGTTTCTTGAAAGAGGCTTAATGAAAAACGCTCATTTGAGGTGGAAATAAACTAATTCTGTCTGTGACAGTGAGGGAACACTGTGCAAAAGCATGTTGTTTTAAATTTTAATTTAATAAAAGCGTAATTAATTGTATTACTGGTCTCTTTGTTATAGCTTGTTTATTAACCCAAGGTGTTTAGGTCTGTGGGACCCTTTTTCAATGTTTGCAAAAAGAAAAAGTTATGGTATATATTATTTCTTCTAACTCAAACTCATTGGCCCTGGCTCATTTTCTGTGAAGAACATAAAAAAGAACTTATTTTCAATGACTGCACATGGTACACCCTCCTACACAACTATTACATTAATTGTTGGTGCTATGAAACTTAACTGTGTCCTCCTCCTAACTAGGCCTGCTGTGTGTCTTGTCTGTGTGCGCAAATGTTGTCTTTCTGCACCTGCTATTCCCACACAAAGTTACAAAATTGTTACATTTCAAGCACTTTCACCTGTTCTGATTAAGTTATAAGAAATGAGCACCAATAATGATCAAAAATCTTGTTTCTATTTTTTTAATATATATAATTGAATTTCCTTGTTTTCTCACAAAAAAAAAAAGATCATATGATCATAATTGTGATCTCACAGGGGTAAATGGTGAATATGAACCATAAGTTATGTATATAACATTGGTAATATTGAGCTAAAGTAAACATCTGTTAAATATTTTTACATAAATTGTTATGGCTGATTTAAAAGCCTAATAATGTGGTGGGTCCACCAGACCCGGGAATATTGGCTGTGTAAACAAAACTATTAACATACAAGGGTTAAAGAACTGTATGGGCTGACTGTAAAATAAGCCCCAAAAATGAATTTGTTTGCCCATAATAATAACGGTTATTACCCATATGGGTAGAATAGCAGGGACCCATAATCAGCCCACATGGGGCCCAGCTAGTGTGGGCCCCAGATGGGAGAAACCTGGCTTGCCCATGTGGGTTTTAGCTAGGGCCCATGTGAAGCCCACCTTCAGCCCATCTGGGCTTGCCCACATGGGGCCACCATGGAACCCCCGGACAAAATTAACTGGGCCCCATCTGGGCAGCCCAGATAGGGCCCACTCACCAGCCCATATCCAACCCTTATGGGCCCCTCATCGGTGTGTTGACAGGGTTCCATTGAAAATGAATGACTTCCGGTAGTTTGGAAGCTCAAGTCGGCGACGGTGTGAACGTACAGTTAGGACTTAGGAGGTACAATAGCAATATGTTAAATTAATTAAACTCAATAAGATAAAATTCACAAATACCCAACAAATGATTAAATGATAATTCAAATATGGTTAAAATTTAATTAAACATAAATTAGAAATTTGAATTAATAAAGTGCATTTTTAACTCTGTTACATGCACATGCATTCTGTACTCAAATATTGAGTAGGCTACCTAAATGGTTCATATTTTTACATCTGCCCCTTTCGCTTTACTTTTAAAATTACATCTGAGTATGTAAACCTGACACAATTTGTGTGTTAAAATGACTTACACATTTATTGTGTTAAATTTGACACAACATGTTTTGTCCCTAAGCACACTCACTAACATGTGTTATTTTTAACACATCTCTTTTTAGAGTGTGGCCATAACCACTGACTGCCTGTAGTCCACATTATTCATTCACTCAGGCCAGATTTACCCACAGACCATTTTAATGCCTCAGACAAAGTTTAAAGCTTAATGATAAGGCTTTGATGATATGTTAAAGGATTTAGTTATTTCAGTCGTCGCTGCTTCACCTGATGGAATCACAGCGCCTCCTATTGAAGACAAACAGCGTCACAGGATTCAGAGCCACTGTTGAAAGTGAAAGGAACATTTCAATACGGACATTCTGTGCAAGCTCCTTTCTGACGGAAGACATCTTACATCGACTGTTTGTGATCGTATCGGTAAGTTTATATTCATGTCAATGTATATTTAACAAATTCATTGTAAGCTACTGAAAGTATATGTGAAATCTTAAATACATAATAGGACATGTTACAGAAATGTTTTTGTTTTAAGGTTTAGGTCTCCATATGCTTTCGGTTTTGGGTAATACTAACGTAAAACGAACCAGAACTTTAATCGGCCTATTTGCCTATACGGTTTTGTGATCCTTTAAAATATAAGGTTATACAAAATTAAACATGGGACGAGATTAACATGACATCGAGAGCATAAACAGCTGTGCTAATAAATGACATCAACAAACAACGCTGACGAAACCTAAAGTCTAGAAAAAGTAAATATAAAAATAATTTATAAAAAAGATTATGAATTATGTAAATCTCAAGCTTATGGAAGGTTAAAAAATCTGTTAGTTGGCCTTTATATTGAACAGACTACTGCATATGGGTTGTATATAACTTCAACATGAGTATAAGGCTTTCTCTCTCTCTCTCTCTCTCTCTCTCTCTCTCTCTCTCTCTCTCTCTCTCTCTCTCTCTCTCTCTCTCTCTCTCTCTCTCTCTCTCTCTCTCTCTCTCTCTCAGGGGTGTAACGGTTCACAAAATTCACGGTTCGGTTCGATACGATACACTTGTGTCACGGTTCTGTTCGGTACGATTCGGTACGTTTCCGATACAGCAATAAGAAAGAAATTTCCTTGATTTAATTTTTTTTATTATATTTTTATTAATACTAACATCATAAAGTATGCTATTTTTTAACTTTGAGCAATGATGGAGCTATACTTGACTTTTCTTAGGAGCTTATAAAACAAAACAGCTCCTTGGACAAAATTAAATGTAATATTGTAGTAGTTATAAACAAAGGTTTATTTTAGTTCAGATTAACATTTGAGGGCAGCAATTGTATTCATAATGTCAAAATAAAACCGACGTAATGTTACTTGAAAGCATTATAGCCTACAATTCCTGCCAAACTCCCATGGTTACAGTTAGTAGTGTTACTACAGTAAATCCATGATGAATGTTGCAGATCTGTGGACACTGGATAGTTCATTCATGGCATAATGTTTCTTCCTGGTTTCCACGTCACCGTTGTTTGATCCGTTAATAACGGAGAAATGCGAATGTTTCTCACTAGATCTCGCAGCGATGTTATTACTTCAGTGGCGAATTCAAGTGTTTTCTTTACTGGATTTGGCTGTGTAGTAACAGTGCTGATGATCAAGATCGGCCTGCGTTGGTCCAAACTGATAAACGGTCCGTCAACCACACAATAATCCCAGCCAGTACAGCCATGTGGGGCCCACATGGGTTTGACGTGGGCTATCTAACTGGGACCCAGCCAGTTTTGCTCCCGGTTTCCATGTAGGCCCCACATGGGTTTGCCCAGATGAAGTGAACACTGCTCAGTGTGCACACTACAGGCTGTAAAATGTAACACTGATCAGTGTTGGAGTTAATGAGATAATTAAGTGATTGAATATGATTGAGCATTATTGAAGACAACTAAAGCAGAATCACTGAAGGAGAAAATTGTAAGCCACCGGTATGGCGATCATTGTTTGCTTTAGTTGGGCTTTTGACCCTTATGTTATTAACTTTAGATTTTGTTTGGCTGTTGTTTCTGACTTATAACTGACAGATAAAAAAACAAAAGTGATGTAATGGTGTTGGTTATATTATGACAATCATCATTTCAACTTTATGTTTGTGATTAATGCTGTTGGGTTACAGCATAATTGTGATACTGCATAAATATCCAGAATTTTAGATATACTATAAAGTATTTCTTAAAAGTTGTTTAAAAAAAATCTTTCTTTTAGGCACACACAAACGTCAAGATTCAGTCAATGCATCTCAACAATGGTGACGAGCAGAATATTCAATTAGGAAAAGTAAATTACATAGACAATTCAGATCATAATTTATTCATACCGCAATGCATGATGGGAGCCATTAATGAGCTGTGATTAGTGGCAGCCACTGCAACATGCATTATTATTATCACCATTGTTGAGATTCACCGGCTGATTATTGATGTCTGTGTTTCTAAATAATTTCATTTGAAAGTATTTTGATCAGAACAATGTTTATGAAATATTTTAGATTAAAAAAAAAAATACTGATAATCATACGCTGTAGAATCACAAAGCGCTGTTAACAAGTTAAACCAGATAATCTCAATAAGTATCGTTTTTCAGATCACAGCATGATTATGCCAAAACATAACCAACACAACCAGATCACACTTTTCTTTGTTCATTTGACTGTTATAAATCAATAACAGCAGACAAACAAAATTTAAAGTGAAAGTATAAGTGTCAAGAGCAACTAAAGCAAACACTGATCGCCATAACGGTGGCTTACAATTTTAGATTTTCTCCTTCAGTGATTCTGCTTGTTAACACCAGGTGTTCATCAATAATGCTCAATCATCACTAAATTAATCACTTAATTATCTCATTAACTTTAACACTCTTGAGTGTTAATTTAACACTCATATCTGCGTCATATCTTCCATCTGAAAGCAGGTGAGGGTGATTTACTACTAATCAAGGAACCGGTTTTACTGATGAAATGCGCATAACAATGTCATGCGATATATCGCCCAGCCCTAGTTCTGATCACCCCTACATGATGATTATATTCTAATCATCAATCAGTTTATAGATTCTGATTGCATTTTCTCTTGGTGTTCTCAACATAACAATCTGATACAACTGAGCAGAGAAAAACTGATGTTAAAAAATCAAGAGCCCAACTAAAGCAAACACTTATCACCATAATGGTAAGTAACATCAAACCAAACTATTATTTTCAATAATCATATGTTGATTTCAATAATCAACATTTTAACCTCTGTTAATTTTCAATAAGAACTTCTGCAGACGTCTGACAGAATTAAAGGCAACCTGGTTGGTAATAAGTGAAGCTGGTAATGCTGTTTGTGGAGTTGTTTAATCAGATCTTGAGAGATTTCGTGTATTTTATCTTCAGTTGATTTCATCTAAGGCTGTGACTGGAAGTAGCTCTTGTGTTTCTCTTTTCTTCAGTGATTCTGCTTACTAACACCAGGTGTTCATCAATAATGCTCAATCATATTCAATCACTTAATTATCTCATTAACTCCAACACTGATCAGTGTTACATTTAACAGCCTGTAGTGTGCACACTGAGCAGTGTTCACTTCATCTGGGCAAACCCATGTGGGGCCTACATGGAAACTGGGAGCAAAACTGGCTGGGTCCCAGTTAGATAGCCCACGTCAAACCCATGTGGGCCCCACATGGCTGTGCTGGCTGGGAACGAGTGGTTTCATTCCGCTTACATTACATTTGCAGTAGTAACTGAGTTATGGTCTGGCAAAGCTTCATAGAAAAATCATTTCCAAAGGGGTGTCACCAACGGACGTCGCTCAAATGCCTCTGGGCGCAATTGGATAGACCTAAAACCAATCAGAGCGATGAAGGAGATGACGTATGCAGAGCGACGTTCGTCTGTTATAGAACAACTTGAATAAATGAGCAGACACTGATTAGCTACTTGCTCTACGTTTATTTTAAATTAACAGCAAGACAACTACAAGTGAATGTGCTTTCCATTAAATAAATCACACACAGTAAACAAAACATTGAAAAAAACTTTGCAATTTAGACGCGCAAACTGGGTGCCGGTGCGGTGAGACGTACATGCTCGGGCAGATTCGGCTTGAAGTCGTTCATCCTCGGACGCGTCGCCGCGCGCGCTGGTACAACAAAAGCCGTGCACACAGCCAAGCAAAATGGGGCCAAAACTTCAGTGGGACCCAGCACTTCACCACACCGGTGTAAATTTTTTTGCCACAAAAGCCGGCGGCACCGCCACCCCGGTTCCCTTTAGGTAGGGAACTAAAGGCACCGGGGTAGCGGTGCCACCGGCTTGGGCCCGTAATCGCTGCTCGCAGCTATATTTACATTTTTTTTTCATTTAATTAATATTGCTATTAATTATTTCTTTCTTTTAATTTTATATTACATTTCATTATTTAGACCTAACATGGAACCTTCAATAGGACTAGCCCAAAATTAAAAGAAATAAATAATAAATAGCAATATTAATTAAATGGAAAAAATTTAGCACAAGTAAAATTGAAAAAAGTTGAGAAAAATGCAACTATCCATTGATAATGTAACTGGAAAAACAAGAAAAATGAATATCTGGTTTCAATTTTTCTTTTTTGCATTTGCATTGTATTGTCTGAAAACTGAATTGTGAAGCGTTACACTAGGGCTGGGGTAAACGATTATTAATCAAACGATTAGTCTGTCGATTATTTTATCGATTAGTCGACTAATCTAACGACTAATTGAACGATTCTTTTTTGTAACATGGAAATTGCAGGAGTGCACATTCAAGCCACAACAATTTTGATCTGGTTCTTACGGAGTATCTACACTGTAAAATGTTTGGTCGGCTACTCAAATGAGCCCTATCACACTTGGATGTGGTGCTCATTTTAATGTTTTCAGTGCTCATAAAAAACATCCGGACTGATTTTTCGGTTTTGTTGACGGGGGTGGGGTTTACATGCGCTTCATAAGGAACACACGCACATTTGCACACACACGCAAGGTCTCTCGCTCTCTCTCTCTCTGCCGCGCGCTACACGGTTTGGAGCTCGCGAGCTCTAGACTCCGGGAGATTTTAACTAATTTGCGGGCATCAGGGAGCCGCTATCAATATGCGGGAGACTTGGGATGTCAACTCCATTTGACAAAGAGCGCAAATAACGACACATTTACGTTTGGGACTAAATTTGAAGTATTCCCATACCTTTGATGATTTAGTGCGAGCTGTTTTTTTTAGGACTTTTTCTTTTGATGTGACTTTTGCATGGCTTTGTTGTGAATTCGGTTGCTGTTTCGTCCTCGATTCTGCAATGTTTCGGTCTCCCACGTGTGTGTGGCGAGCTGTACCGCCGGGAACGGTGCAAAAAAATAAATACATAAATAAAGAAGCGTCGACAAAAAAATATGACGTCGACGAAATTTTGACGTCGAAGCGTCGACGTCATCGACGCGCCGCTACAGGCCTACGTTACACGGACCTCGAAGCTACTTCCATTCACAAATACTCTCTGTTGCCTCATGGGATAGTAAAGTGTTCATCGAATGTGTAATGAAGATCAGCTGGTAGAGAGCTGTGCAAGTAAACCTCAATAGGCACACTATCGACTGATGTGACAGACTATGGTCTTTAGCCTCCTTGTTATTCGCACGTCTCGCGCTGACGACCAGAGTTTGAGTCCCGCTCGGAGTGGGGCTGGTTTGGACAGGAGGAGTAACAAATGCACACTTCATAATCTCAGTCAAGAAGTGGGTCAACCGGGAACTTTCTGCCCACTCTTTTATTAGTACTGTGAATTCAGACATACTACTTTTGTTACATACTGCTTTTTGCCTACTATATAGTAGGGAAGACATTTTGGATGCAGCCAAGAGGTGCAAAGGAACAGGACAAACAGGAACTAAAAACACTTACACATAAAAGTCACAAGAAAGTGGAGCATGAGAACAGGAGCATAACAAAAACACTTATACTGTGCAGAGGTGGAAAGTCCAGGGGTCAGAAAGTAAAAGTCCTGCCACATTTTTATTCCACCCACAGCAAAAACTCCAGTGTTAAATGAACTTTACTGGGAGTTTATTTGGATCCAGACTCAAGAGTGTTAAAGTTAATGAGATAATTAAGTGAATAATTGAGTGATGATTGAGCATTATTGAAGACACCTGATGATAACAAGCAGAATCACTGAAGGAGAACGTCACATTTTTTAAGTCACCATTATGGCGTTCGGTGTCTGCTTTAGTTGGACTCTTGACCCTTAAATCATTAACTTTAGATGTTGTTTGGCTGCTGTACATGAGTTATAACAGCCAGATGAACAACAAGGAAAGCTGATATGCTGGGCGAGGTTATGTTTTGACATAATCATCATTTGTCACAAAACTCATTTGTAGAGTTTAACCTTTTGATTACACAGTAAAACATTTTCAGAAATTTAAATATCCAAAAGGTTTCTTAAAAGCTGTTCTATTATAAATACTATATGGGCACACACAGACATCAAGAATCAGCCTGTGATTCTCAACAATGGTGACAATTATATAGCATGTTGCAGTGCATTCTGGGTGCCACCAATCAAAACTCATTCATGGCTCCCATCATGCAATGCGGTATGAATAAATTATGATCTGAATTGTCTTAGTAATTTCCTTTTCCTAATTGAATATTCTGTTTGTCACCATTGTTGAGATTCATACACTGAATCTTGATGTCTGTGTGTGCCTAAAAGAAAGATTTTTATTTCTCAGAACAACGTTTAAGATATCATTTGGTTTATTTTGAAAAATCTGGATCTAATGTTATAGAATCACTGTGTGACTGTTATGATCATTTTACATTTAAGTCAGAAAGTAGGCTTTAAATGAGTTCAGTGATTCAGGTCAAATGATGATTATGTCTAAACATGATCTAGAACATCTGATCTGATCTGATCTCTTTGTTCATCCAGCTGTTAAAACAGCCAAACAAAATCTTTATTTACACATTTAAAGGTCACCTGCCCAACTAAAGCAAACACTGATCACCATAACGGTGACTAAAATATAGATTTTCTCCTTCAGTGATTCTGCTAGTTAACATCTGGTGTCTTCAATAATATCTCAATCATCACTCAATTATTCACTTAATTATCTCATTCACTTTAACACTCTTGAGTCTGGATCCAAATAAACTCCCAGTAAAGTTCATTTAACACTGGAGGTTTTGCTGTGGGTGGAATAAAAATATGGCAGGACTTTTACTTTCTGACCCCTGGACTTTCCACCTCTGATACTGTATTAATACAAAGTTCTGTCTTGAAACTCGAGATGGCAAGTCAAGTCATCTTCATTTATATAGCGCTTTTAACAATGGATTGTTTCAAAGCAGCTTTACATAGATAAACATATAATTTAAGGTAACAGAGATTGTTTTACAATTGTTTAGATTGTTAAGGTAACAAACTACTTGTCTTGCCTATAAATTTTGATAAAGAATTTTGTTTTATTTTATCACTTCGGGGTACGCGAACCGAAATTCACAACTCACAACATTCACAAATGGCACAAGCTGATTGGTCTTTAGCTCAATCTGCTAGCATCTCATCGTTATCTCTGGCCAGTGATGGAGTACTCGAGTCCTGGACTCGGACTCGAGTCCTTATTCTCTGGACTCGAGTCCGACTCGAGACTCCATTCTCTGGACTCGTGACTCGACTTGGACTCGCGGACTGATGACTAGTACTTGGACTCGGACTCGAGAATATATAAAATCGGACTTGAGCATTCATGTCAAGTCAAGTCATCTTCATTTATATAGCGCTTTTAACAATGGATTGTTTCAAAGCAGCTTTACATAGATAAACATATAATTTAAGGTAACAGAGATTGTTTTGGCTTTATAGCGGTTCTTGAATAATTAGATTTCCAGCTAAAGTTAATTTTGATTGATTCACCTCCGTCGAAATGATCAGACTTTAAACGCGAACCTGTGATTAACGCTGACGGCGTTCACATGCACATTCAGAATTGATTCTATAGTTATGTGCTTTTGAAAATATGTGCGCAGGTTTGTAATTCCATACAACCCATGCCTAAACAAACTACTTGTCTTGCCTATAAATTTTGATACAGAATTTTGTTTTATTTTATCACTTCGGGGTACGCGAACCGAAATTCACAACGCTTTATCTGTAGAGTGGGAAAGGGATCCTCCATAGGGAGAGGATAGTTGACACTTCAGCACTGCATTGTCATCGGGTCCAGGCGGATCTCCTTCGTCAGATCTGGATACGGCCTGGATCCGGCAGGCTGCGGGAAAACCTCGGGATAAACAAAGACATATTAGCGTAGATGCCATTCTTCTCATGATGTAACGAGTACATCAAGATTTAAGGGAAGTGTTCCCAGTTCCGGCTGACCTAATCTATGCAGCCTAACATTGAATTATAGAAGTCTATTCATCAAATGAATGACGTTGTTTCTGACTAAATAGGTTATAAAAATTTGATATAAGATGTTACACTTTTCCTGTTTCGGGGTCCAAGACCGGCCGTGATCTATTTTTTCCCTCACAGATACTGCTACCGCTCGCTCTCCTTGCTTGACAACACACTCACTGACGTCAATCACTTTACGCTGCATTCTCGTGAGAGAAATAACGTAACACTCATTTAACACTAGATAAGTTCCTCTTCATCTAATCAGAAATTTTGATTTTGGCTCGCTTTGCAGCAGCTGACCACTAAGGAGCGAATGTACAGTGACGTGACATAACTGCCAGATTTAAACTGTGCTTTCGTGCTATGGCTGGCGCTGAGCCAAAGTCGGACGCGCTCAGCGCTTAATCTCGTTTATCATACAATAACACAATTATGTTTATTTTAGCTAACAAACTAGATGGCGACCTTGACTATGTCACACATCGCAACCACTCTTTTCCTGCAGACTAACAACTGCTTATAAAAAAAAAAAAAAAAAAAACTTTCCTGAAAATCCTTGCTTATCTGGCTTATGCTACTCCGAGCAATGTCTGAACTTTATATTTTGAGCACTTCTTGCGTTGTTTTTGTCTATTCACGATGTCTCGCTTGGTTTAGTCCTCAGTTGTAAGTCGCTTTGGATAAAAGCGTCTGCTAAATGACTAAATGTAAATGTAAATGTTATAGCACTGCATTTTCTGTTTTTTTGCCGCAGTTACATTGGGATTTAGTTTGCTTTTCAAAATTTCAAAATTGTTTTTCTTTTACCATATTCGTCAAGAAGAATGCATTTCTCCTCCTCTGTCCAATTAGGCTTTCTTTTTTGTTTTCTTTATCCATTCCAGTTGACTGATCATCCAAAAATGTATTTAAACAATTAAATAAATATAATTGTGCCACAGCTAGTTGACAATGATTTGAACTAAGGTCAAAGCCAATTCTAGTGATATCATACACATTTCTAGCTGCAAGAAAGAGTGCCTGAAAAATGTTGCTTGATTTGGCTTAAGTGTATATAATTTCGACTCGGACTCGAACACGGGACTCGAGAGTCGACTCGGACTTGAACTCAGGTAGTGACTCGACTTGGACTCGACTCTGACTCTTCTTTGGTGACTCGGACTTGGACTCGGACTCGAACACTGGGACTCGAGACTCGACTCAGATTCGACAGTTGGTGACTCGACTACAACACTGTCTCTGGCACAGCTGATTGGTTGTTGTTGTATCAGCAGTCAAAGAGCTTTTTTTTAGATAACTATAATAGCCAAACGTACAAACTGAATAGCTTATCACTGCAGTGCTCACATTTACGTCTCACTTTCTATTTACAGATTTCAATGTTATTTTACTACAATGTTATTAGTTAACAGGGTGACTGAGGCTGAAATTCGGCCCTGGACAAATCCAGCCCATCCGGCCCACGAGTGAACCTGTGAATGTTTTGTTTGTTTTTAGGTCCTCAAATTTGTAAAACAGAAACAAATAATTTACAGAAATCAAATGTAATAATCATGTTGATCTTTCCTGCTTCAATTGGCCTATTTGTATTGTATAACCCTGCAATGTTTTTGTTGGTGTTTAGTGTTGGTGAATACATCTTGGAGAAAGTGTTGTTGAAGAAGCAAACAGAGACCATGAAATATCAGGTGAACAACACTTTTACTACTTTAACAAGCATATGTACAGTAGGTGTTTAATCTAACATCAATTGTGTTGTTCTGCGTTTTTAGAGCTTTGAGAACACAGAGGTGAGAGGAGAAGGAGATGATGTTGATGAAGATCTCCGGTTGCTGTTGATCGGTAAAACCGGATCCGGGAAAAGCGCCACAGGAAACACCCTCTTTAATGATCGAGTGTTTGAATCAGTAATGAGCTCTTCATCTCAATAGCAGACAGAGCTGGAGAACCACTCCAATTAAAGCTCGTCCCATGTTCTGCATTGTCTTTTCATCAGATTGACTTAGAATTATCAACTTTTCTAAAGTTGGTCATTTCACTTAACCCATCTGTAATGATAAAACACTAATTCCAGAGGTTAATGACACAATATCCTCAAAATCAGGAAATAATAGTACCCCAAACTAACACATACAAGACATAAAGTGCTGTCACCATCACACACACTCATACTAGACACACATATGTTAACTGTTCATTTTCAATGTTCATTTTTCTTTATATTATTGCTAAAAGATTTAAATTTTAAATAAGATTTTAAACTTCCCATTTTCCGGTAGCTTCTACCTAATTTTACATGGTCTCCCAACCAGTTTCAAAGCACGTCTTGTTCATTATTCATTAGAATTTAACAAGGTCAGCTGGGTTGTTTTGTTTCATTATCATTATTTTGCTTCAGCTTGCTCTAGCAGGCCAATAATGGAAAGACAGACACAGTTACCATCCCTTCCTCTGCTCAAGCAGTCTCTCTCACTATAAATAAATAATCTTTTTCAACAGCCTTCTAAGGCTGTAACTTAGACATAATGTAATATTAAATTAATTACAATAACCTTTGACCATTCACCTTGTTATCCAGACTTTTCTCAAATCTACAAGAGCTGTCTTCATCTTTAGCCACCACCATGTCTAACGACCTTCAGGAGTTAAAACTATGTCATAGACCTATTAGTTCAAAATCAACACTATGATTTTCCTTGCCCATAAGGCAAACCAGTACATAAAAGTTTTGCTACTGTCTCCACAACAACTAATGGGAATCACTTCATGGCCTCAGCTGGCTCTTGAAAGCCCATTTCTGTTAGCCCTTTATCTATAATCTCCATCAGGGTGTTTTCCCCTGGCATATTTGCAGACGCTTGTCACAATAAAAAAAACAAGCCATACAACTAATGCGGTTTCTTGTGATTGGTATAGAGGAACACTCACGTTTCGGGGTCAGACTGCCTGTAACTCCTCACAGCTCATCCGCCCTAACGATAAAGGATGCTGCTGGCCTCACAGTCATCCGCTCCACTCTCATACCTTTCTCACATAAACACCTCCATCTTGAGATGCCCAGTGACTTTACGTGATCCACTCTGGCTTAGGTTGCCCCCTGTCTGGCCAATAGAAGGTCTTACCCGTCATTGAGTAGCCACTCGTGCCCACTGGTGACCGCTCTTTCCCATCACAGGCTGTTTGCTTCAACAGAACTCAGCTGTTTTCTAGAGCTTAGGAAAGGCACGTTCAAGAGTCACCAGAGCCATTCGGATTGCCTAATAGTGTTCACATAGGGAGACAGGTCAATAACAACAGTATTTAATCACTTAAATCCATTAACTATCTTAAAAGCAGCAACCTAGCTACTTGGATTATACTCAGTGAATTTAGATCACAACCGTACATTCAGTGTACATTTCCGTCGGCCCCTCCCCCGTTTCATGGTGGGGACTAAGATCAGACAAAGAAGTTACTGTTCCTAAAATAACCTAATCAAAGATGTCACTACAAATAGCTTATTATCACTTATGACACCGACTCAGGTAACAGCTTTTAGCTGACATTGACTGAGAGAGAGACATTGAATGAGAGAGGGACTGGTACACTGCACTCTGAACGTCTAACTTTATCTACCATCTTTTAACTCTATCCCAGCTTAAGGCATCTTTGCCAGATATTACATACGGTTTCAAATAAACATATTATTTATATTTGTCTTTTGCCCACACATCAGGGAATTTAGACATTACAAATTTCCACTCAGATTGAGTCTGTTGCACTGGCAGTTTCAGCCACAGCACACATCAGATTCAGATAAGCAAACTGTTTCATTACAGCCAATAACAAACTTATCTTTTGAAAGCAAAACATCAGCTTCTAGTTCTTTCATGGTCAACTTTTCAAGCTGTTTGTTTAATCAGCATTTAGCCACTGTTAATCCAGTACTGCTTCTGCTTATTTGTTCTTACATAAAAATAATTATTCTAGTTCTCAATAACGTTTCACATTTCTCAATCTCAATTTTAATTGTCAAGTTCTCAACCATAGTTTAATATTTGACTTAAGATTTCTCTTGGAGTTTATCAATCTCCAATTAGGATTCACACTAAGTTTGACGAGGCAAGCACTCTCTGCTTGTGAAACTTTTGCAGTTATGGTAAATCATCTGTGAGATTAGTCTCTCTATATCATCTAAAACCTTTTTAAAAATTTTAATGGCAACACAATCATCCTTTTAGTTACTTTGATATATTCTGCAACTCACATTTGTTGGAGTCATTCATTTTACATCAACCTGTATTCATCAATTCACTTATAAAAATTAGTATTATAGATCTTTTCTTCAAAAGGGTTCGTGTGTCAGCCTCAACGGCTCCAACTTACTACACGCCCTTGAAGCAGTGTGTGTCCCATTCAGGAATGTAAACAGAGCTACTGATTAAGCAGTTCTCTGTATTCTTTTACAGTCCACCAGTGGCGGATTTAATCATAATAGCCCAATCATAATCTTCATCATTATTATTGGCAGAACATTAATTTTCATAAGCTGCAAAATATTCTAAGTTGTTTTCACAAAGTGTCTGTTTAACTTTAGTCGCTTGTCGAGGGAAATTATCCCTGACCCAGAATTTCTTTCACTTGCTTCTTGTAATCATCGTAAGCAATACGAGGCTAAACATTTTAATTTTTCTGTTTCTTTGTTTGTTTGTAGCCAGTCAAGTTGTTTAAATTTCCAATCAGAATCAAAATCCTGACTACCATTTACTTAATCATTTCTGCAAATTTATTTAAAGTGAGGGCTTTAGAGCACAGCTGCTTACAGCATTTGCTTTCCTGTCTCACTATTTGTTTCAGGACTGTTCAGGTTACTGTCATATCTTAATCATGGTTCATACTCACCTGAAGTTATTGCAGAAATGGAGGCGGCGATCTTTGAACAACACAGCTTGGCTTCTGCGTGATGAAACTGCAAAGTATACTCCAAAATCACAGTTACATATACTGGTCCATGCCAATTTGGGTCACAACTTTTTTAATTTTTCTCTCGGAATCGTTCCTGATGCATCCCTGGCAAACAACCCTATTATTGTTAGTATCCCTAACTGCCTGATTCACTTCACTAAGTTCGGGGATCCCCTATCTGAGATGGAAGAGATTGAGCAGGTTTACGGTGCCACTGGACCTCTAGCCCAGGGACGTACTCTGCTGGGGTGGTGCTACACCAGTAATGCCCAGCGGGGCCCCCACAGAGCACGCTTCGCTTGCGCTGTCTGCTGCCGTTACCCTTAACGACGCTCTCAGCGACTTCTTATACTGTCAGCAGTATAATTAACTTACTCCTTCACTCGCCTCATCGGAGTGAAGCTCTCCCGCTCTCCTTCAAAATCTCTTCCAGTCAGACAGCCCTAACAATAAACAAAAGCTTACTACCTTGTTTGTTGATTTGCCAGGGGTGTCACCGAGAATAATTGCCAGCGCATCCTCCACCATAACTGTAAGGGGTATACAGTCAAAGACCCAGAACCAGATATGAAGAATGAAGACCCGGAGTCAGAATTATAAAAAATTAAAGAAAAGTTTTACTGAAGATAGTTTGCATTTTCATCAGCAGAAGTCAGCTTCAAGACTCACACAGGAGTTCGTAGGCCGCCCCGCTTACAGTTACAAAGATCACAGCAGTTATACCATTTCCAAGGTCTAAGCTACGTCATTGCTTACAGGTTGAATGATTCTCATTGGCTAAGAAACATTAAGAGCCTAAACAATTTAACACATGTGAGGAGATAGGGGTGCCTATCGCCATTAGTAAAGATAGTTGTCGTCCACTCATTGGATTTAGGTCTGTGGTGGCCTCGCAGGTTAGAGAAGGGCGCCGGGGTGTCTGGTCCGACCGTCCAGAACCTACATAGAATGTCATACGCACACACACACAAATAACAGACACTAGCAAATAACAGCTCCCATCAAGGCTGAAGAGAGTCTGAGCTCCTTATTATCAGTTAAGTATACCAAAACATAATGCTAAAACATTCACTCGTTTGGGAGAAAAACAGATCACTGGCATTTACTCCCAAGGAAGGAAATATACTGGAAAGAATACATTTTAATACAACAATTAAAGTTTGATAGTAACGCTCAATATAGCTTGACCATATGTCCAGCGAAGAATCATATGTGCCCACGCTGCCTTTAGGACCCTCTAACCTTTCTACTGATCCCAGAGAAAGAGACAAACGGCCTTGTGGGTTACGTGGCCTTCGTGTCCTGCGTGTACTACGTGCAATCTCAAAGTAAGATTGGAATGCACCTAAAAGAAACTGGTTACTTGCATCCATGCATTTAAGAAAATATAATTTCACAAGCACAAGAATATAAAAATTATTATGTGATAATGAATATCTTTGATTATTGATTTTTATAAAGGAAGTATATAACCATTCAAAATGATATATGATTATATATGTATTTGAAGAGGCAAGGGATTTTGACCAACCCTTCAAAACCATACCACTAGGTTAACAGTATACTACTGTCTACACTGCACTGTCATTTACTATTTACTGTATATACTACACTACATGTCTATACTGTACTTTTTTTGCACTTCAGGTTAGACACTAACTGCATTGAATTGTCTCTGTACTTGTACTCTGCACATTGACAAAAAAGATAAATCTAATCTAATGTAATCTATAGGTGTCTTGACACCTCCCTTATCAATATTCACTGTGTAGGCAACTGACTGAATATGTATCATTACGAAATTCTAAACCATAAGTAATAAAACCACATGAAATTTCTGTCAAAGTATGTCTACTTGAAGTGTCTACTGTGTGTTTTGATAATAAATATTCAATCATTTGGTTATTAATAAATATTTATTTAAACAATAAACACAAACAAAAACAATCCTTCAGCTAAATTATTTAAAAAAAA